TCAAGCCTCAAGATATATATACTGTAAGGATTGGCCATACACAGTCTTTGGGGATTTGAGCTAAGAGTTCTGAAGGGTGTGTAGTATGGGCCATGTGAGCCTTCGCCATTCCCTCCATTCCCGTCCATCGGGCAGCGCTGCAAACTGGAAGAGTGCGGGACGCTTGAGCCCTGTGCCACAGGCTGGGCGGCCAAATCTGCCTCGCAAAGAAGAGCATGCTTGGGGATCTGCTGCAAACATCAACATGGTCAACCTCCCCAAAAGAACCCTTCTCAGAAAGGGATACCAAAGCACCAACCTCCATTGGACCCTGACAGAACATTTGATGAAAAAGACCTACTCAGAGGCGTCGACCTCTTCATTGCCTCCGACTTTCATGGATGTTCAATGGTGTCTGGGAGAACTTGGATGAACAATGAACAAACCGCGCAAAATCAGAATATGGTCGGTCAATCAGTTTGGTGCCTCACCCGTGCATTTTGGCCAGTCAACATGCAATGTCCACCACTGGTTGGTTGTTTCAACTCATAGTATGGGTTTAATAAATCATCCCAAGTAAAGAATGCGGTAATGAAACCCACCAGCCAACTTTCTGGCCATGGTTTCCCAACATGCTCAGACGCGATGCCCGGTCCAATCGAACGTTCGAAGTCTCAAAGTTCAACATCGAAGCCCTATATTGGGCCCTATTGGTGTCGACTTCCATTTGAAACCATCCTGCAAATCATTTAAATGAACAACACCTGCTACACAAAAATCATGTCAAAGCTTGCTCTGCGTCGCTTGTTTCTGGCCTCCCAGAGTTCCTGCGACACCAGCGGCAGCTGGACGCCACGCCGCAAGGCTTCTGCACGGCGACGCACCTGGAAAGCGGAATGTTTTGAGTGATTCTAGTGCGGGGTGGGGAGTTGCAAGTTTATTGACTATTCCAAGATTCTGGGATATTGCCTACAAAATCTCAAAAGAGGACAAACTGTAGAACACGCCCTGGTTCACTTTCCTTCTTTACAACAACGTATGCATACAAGTCCTTCGCCAACGCTTGGCGAAAAAGACCAAGGACTTGTTCGGTGGGCGGCCTAACCAAACTAGGGTACGTGCATTTATTCGTCATTGGCGGGTGCATAAAAATATCTGGAGACCTCCCAGTGAGACCCTGGAACATACACCAAAAACCCCTACACCCAGATTGTGGACATTGCGCACTCTAGGACTCTAGGTGCAACTGGACCTCCCTGGTGCCTACATCAAAGCTTACCAAAGGGTGGTAGTAGATCTATACCAGGACGTGGTGCATGGGCCCCAAACAGGACCCCCCCACGTTTGTCAATGACCCTTTTTTAGAGTTGCAACATCCTGCAACTCCAAGACCGGGAAGCCCCACATGGATTGACTGGGATAACCCCTCTGCACCGTTCCCTTCGATCCCGCGTTCCGCCCGTGCGTTCCGGGCACCAAGGCCAAAGAGTCGGAGGACGTCCCGGTCGACCTCTCACCATAGCGCTCCTCGGCGACGGGCGGCGGCGCCGGTCGCCGACTGGGACCGCTTCGGGGCCAAGCTAGGCCTCCAATGAGCAGCCTCCCAGGCTCCCTGTTCAGAGCGATGGCCTCCCCCCTACTAAGTGCACCACTGCGAAGTGCTTCAAACATATATATATATACATGTTATAGATGTGTTTGTGTGTGTGTTCTATTCTTCGGGGGTCATGCACCGTTTACTGCAAGTGCTTTAGAGGGTCCAGGCCCTGACGGCATACGGTACACCAAAACTTATGCATATAAGGGTCCAAGCAGCAACCATCCTTCTCAGCTCAAGTTCATGAATAGTCTAAACAGGGCACACATGCATTTACAAATTTGTCTGAAAGGCAAGTGCAACCCATGGTTGGGGTTTCCACCAGCCCACCTCTTGAGAAGAGTGCCATAATATCTTGGTCAAAGAAAGGTGCTTCGAGTGAACACCCAACTGCGCCAGTCATTTGGGCGACAGTCAACCGAATCCAACGGTCCAAACTCGAAGAAACCATTTGAAAGGGTCTGCTTAACGGGTGCAACGAAAACCAACCCACGCGTCTACGGCGCGTCTACGGCCCGTCTACGTCGCTGCCTGTACGAGTCCGAAGAGGGCTGAAGCATGCTGAAGCTGCACACTGCTGTCTTTCTGTGCTGGTTGGCACCAGGATCATATATATATATATATATGTTCTATGTTGACCTGTTGCAAATATGTGGAATGCCGGACCGGGAGAAGAAGGACCGTCGTATTCGCACAGAACCCGGCAAAACACCATCCTGGCAGCTCATGCTCGGCAACACGCACCTCCCGACTCCCAACAGTTCAAGAAACCCCAATGTCGCAACTACTCCCAAATGAGAGGAAACGCTAGGGAAAACCTACAAGATGTAGCAGGACAACCCCCGTATGGATGAACCAATGATTGGGAAAAAAAAACATGTTCCGGCTCATCGGAAATCGTCCGATGGGGCTCATGCGTACCTTCCACCATGCCTTCTATGATGGCTTCCATACTTTCCACCATCTTCTACCCAAGAGAGGTTGAACAGCCCTTTGTCGCCCATCCCATATGTACCACAGACCAGGGTCCGACCCGTTCTGGTCTCTCAACCTCTCTTGGACCCAAAGCAATTCCACACACACCTCTTCACAGGAACTTCCCAGTGGCCATGAGAACTCGCCGGTTCAGCTTCCTGGCGCTCGGCGACGACGCGCAAGAAGCAGCAGGTGAAGTCGATCGACCTGCACGGCCCTTATTTACCTTACGTCGGCTCCAAACAACCCCTAGTCAGATCACAAGTCATCCAACATACGGATACAATCAAGCCCGCCTAGCCCGCCGTATATAGAAGAGGTACAAATTACTCCAAAGATCCGGGGGGTGGTTGATTCATGTTGATTCATCCACAATTCACCAGTAGCGTGTTCTGGACCTCGGACTTGAAACATGTAGCTTGAGGTGACCAGGTCGATTCCAGAACCCCTCAGGTTCCTCAGGTTTTTCCGGTGTCGGGTTGCCTGCAGGTGCATGTCGGGTCCAGGAACGTCCGGTTTCTACAACTCCGCGCCGCCCCTTCGGCCATCCCCTGCAAGGCACTGGTTCTCCAGGAGCCCACCGTTGGCCACTGTCCAGGGTGTTGTTTCCAAGAAAATGTCACTGACCTCGGCTGCCAAGGCTTTAGGTTCAATTCAATGACACACCTGTGACTCCTCTGCTTCCAACTTTAAGATGCTGGTGGCATATCTTCATACCAAGCAGTGCTGTGGGCCAAGTTGTTCAAGTTTTGAAGGGTTTGCATCGACTGTGGGCATGTATGCAACATCTTGCATACCCTGAGATGCCCTCCCAAGAGCGGCCAGACTTGGTTCTACAAACCATTTCTGAAACAACACTAAAACATACTAAACCACAACTTGTCTAGCCTGGGCATGTTGACTTCCCAGTACTAAGATACAAACCACCTCGTGCTTCGCCAGCCCCTTCTGGCTGGCAGCCTCCTGCATGAGTGACCTTGAGGCCGGAGGAATTGGGTTAAAGCGGGTGTGGTGAAAAAGGTCAAACTGATGCTGAGATATGCTAGGTAGGGCATCTGGCTGGGAAGGACCACCCCTGGATTCCTGGTGATCGGGGGGCGCCAGGATTGATCCGACGACCGTGGGTGACTAGTTTTGCTTAATTTTTTTGGTTGAGCCTTGCCCAAAAGGTTCCCGGTGGAGAGAAAAGGATAGAAAAACTCAAGAAGAGAGAGGGGGAGCGCGAGAGAGAGAGAGAGAGAGAATGAGAGTGAGAGAGAGAGAGAGGGAGAGAAACTTAAAAACGACAACAAAAACAAACTGCCCTAATCTATATATAATATTAATATATAGTAATATATGATAGATAAAATACAGTATATAGGGTGGTTTCCAACGAAACTTTGGATACCACTTACAATCACTCACTACCAGCTCCTCCAGCCGCTCCGCTCCCGAACACACAATCCAGTCTATATTTGTTTGGCCCACGCGAGTCTGGGCGGCACATGCCGTGGGGAACATGGTAGAATGCACCTCAATCATGTGGAATTTTCATCAATAACACTCCCTTATAACTAAAAATCGTATAAAGAGATCCTCCTACAATGATTGCTTGGCCAGCTATTTTTCATTTTACAAACAGTTACAGTAGTGTCTATAAAATGGAATATACAGAAAAACATCTATAACATGCAAAACGTACCTTTATGATAAATGACCATGTGTTCACATCCATTGAATCAATGAACATGGAGATGCACACAAAAATCTGATTGACTAGCTTATATATGTTTATAAAGTGAACCTGGCTTAAGGCATTTGATATATAGGGGAAAAGGCATTGCATTAAACAAGGACGCATTGATGGGCGATATAAAGAGGCTTTACTCACAATCCAAATCCAATTGGGGGGCCGGGCTCTAATTTTGCAATTCTACATTACTGTCGGTAAGCTGGTGCTCTCAAAGGTCTTGGACTGGCATGTCTTGGACTGCAAGGTTAACCAAAACAGATTGGAGTCCGGAGACGGAATCGACTGGAACATCACCTCAGCGCTCTTTTGTTGCGTCTGATTCGGGCTGTTATGGCCTCTTGCTTCCGCATTGGTACAAGAGACCGTCGGAAAAATCACCGTGGAATGATGTTGAACGTAACGGCAACAAGTGGAGCACATGGAGCTGGCCGGCCTCAAAACCAAAGAATTTCCGATGTCATGAAGATACCACCCGGCGCTGGTGATCGTCACTCGAATGTATACTCACACCACTGCCACGAGCCAAAATTTGGTCGCTTGCTTCCGGATTTCGCCTGTTCTGCAACTGTGCGGGGGCCAAGGCTGGACCTCAAACCATTGGGAACAATCTACTCTTCTGCCCCACGCCCTTGAAGAATTGGAGGCACCAAAGAGCCGCATCACCCCGCATGGCCTCAGATCCATCGGGGTGGTGAACGTGTTGCGCTTCGGTGGTCAAAGCCACTGAAGTCGGACATTGCGGCTGTCCCCGCCATTCCTGAGCCACGCAAGAACTGGAAGTAGGGAAATAACCACAGGAAACACATAAACCCAAATGCACACGCGTACGCAAAAACAAACGTTGTTTGACATTCTTGTCTGACACTCTCCGAAGACACTCTTGAAGAGCAGTCTCGGGTGACACGTTTCTATAGGGCAGTCTCGCACAAAACTCCTCCAAGGCCTTGTGCCCCACACATGTGGGACACTTGCGTGTGACAATCTTGCTGGACGCTCTTTTGTGCGACCCGCTCGCAAGACACTCTTGTGGGACCCTCTTGCAGGACAATCTTGTACGACACTTCTCTGGGACACTATTGTAGGATATGTTTCTTATGAGACCTCCAAAAGGCGTCAAGCCTTCAAACGACGAGGCTCTCTCCCAAAGTCAAGGTTTCAAGACATTTTGTGCAAGATTTCCTCCAAAAGGGACAGGTCAAGCCTCCAAAACCTCCAAAAGTCAACGTGAGAACTCTTCGACACCGGCGTTTTGGACGAGACTTCCTCCAAAAGAGAAGTGGGCAGTCTCATCATCAGCGCACGGCCACATTATGCAGCCTGCAACGCACACTGCCTGACAACACCTCCAACACGCACAAAGTATAGCGCCTGCCACGAGTAGTATGCACCACCTCATGACTTCTCTAGCAACACTTGCACCTCCAAGTCGATCTTTTTCAACATGGGAAGGAGCAACTTACAGTATTATACAGTATTATCACAATACCCGTGTTCTTCGTATGGTGCCCCAAGCCTGCGCGAGCCTCCAAATCCCAATGGCACAGCAACATTCCATGCTTCCCCAAAACACCCCTCACAATGCCAATCCCAATGGCAGGGCGATGCAAAGTGCTGACCTCACAAACACTGCCCCTCCGCAGAAAAACTAATCCTTCACGCTTAGGCAAGTCACGTTTTTCTGCACTAGTCTGCATGCAAGCGATCCAAAGCCTCCTCCGGGGTCTTCCCGCAGCAATGTAAGGCTTTTAACTTCGCGTTCCAACGGTTGCGAACATGAAAGCAACACCACGCGAACTGTTCGACTCCACCCCCAGAGTTAAACCGGGCAACCTTTGCTATGCATTTGGCAAGGGCATCAACAAATGCTAGCAAACAGCATCTACCTGGATGTTGATACCAAGAAGTCACAACTATGTTAGCTCCAAGTTTTGAGTAACAGCATCTCAAACGAGTGGTTTTCCAGGCCCTCTTGGTTGAAGCCGGAGGCATATGCTCCCAAACACTAACCCCCTAAAGGCCTTAGGGTCTCAAAGCCCTGGCTTTGGACCTTAGAGTTCCAACCTGAGGCCTGAGGCCGTCAGTCGCCCACCCAACTAGTCCGTCGGTAGCGCCTGTGCCGTCGAAGTCCGGTGAATCACCGGAGTGGCGAAGGTTTTTGGATCCAATCCATTTGCCGGTGGTTTTTGGATCCAAATTGCTTCTCTAATCATCCAAGCTCTGGCCATGGTGTCGTTGTCGTGGTCGTGGTCGTGGTCGT